GGATAACAAGCCAAGGTCAGGGCGGGCAGCAGACAAACATAATCAGGAGAACAAGCCGAGTTAGTACATAAGAGATCAGTCTATGGGAAATCAGGTTAGGAATAATTGCATGTAAGGGGCTCAGGAACAAGTGTTGCTCAAGCAACCAGAAGCAAGTCTGCACAGGGTTTAAATATGGAAAGGGCTAGGAGGCCGGACAGGAAGCAGCATGGAGGAAGGTATATTAACCCCAGGTGCCAGTAGACCCACAGCAGCAAAAAGGTAAAACAAATGCAAACAGTGAGACACAGATCAGCTCCACAGCTGATCTGTGACAGTTAGCAGGTTGGTTTAATAGTTTCATGGATGCGATAAAGCTAGGTCTAACTTTTTTGGTTTTGGACAGAATGGGGGAGGATTAGACCTCCTGTTGGGTGCTACTGCTATTTGGTGCTCAGTTAGTGAGATTTTGTCTCTTACTGTCCCAGTGACAACAGCTCCACTAGACAGGAAGCAAGCAAAATCTTCAACATAGACACACAGAAATAAAAATGCTTCTATGTATTGCCATTTGTCCATATCATTAAGGAAATTCGACAGGTAGGTTGATGATACTGCACATCTATATCCTACACGGTGTAGTGTATTCTCCACCAGATTAACCAATTATGTTCTTACGGTTGGTAGCTCATTTCCATTTGGGATGAAGGGTCAGCAGAAAAAAAGACTCAGGAGGATTGCAATCTACTCCATTCAAAACAGAGATACTTGTGTTAGATAGTGCTTTTCTATGAGGGGATAGGAATATACTACACTCATCAGCACCATCATGGTGTGTACATATATATAAAGAAGGATTATTACATTTAATTTTATATATGAATCATTGTGTTCCCTCTGCGTATTGAACTTTGGTATAAAAATTGCCTATTAATATTTGACTTTGTAATTTTCAGTAGATTACAGTAGCATTTGCCATGTAACCTTTCTAAATGATAACACCTGTTAAATAAGTGCTCTGCCATATGCTTTGAGAGAAGACTCGAAGCACTGACATCTAAAATAAATTTGCCCTTTCCAAGTAGTCTGTTCAACAACCAGAAGCGTATTCCCTTCACAGTACATGTGCTCAGGCATTCTTCATATAGCGCCAGATCCCCAAACACCCACTTAATGGGCCAAGTCATTAAAGAGTAGCACAGGCTGGCCATGAAGTATATTTATCTAATAACCAGAGCAGGCTTCTTTTTTTCCTTCTACCAGGAATATTTTCAAGTTCAAAATGCAAGAAAAACATATTAACTTATAGCGTATGGGGTATGAGCCTTTCTACATTGAATTTCCACAAGTTCTATCCCACTCCTAATATCAATCTAGAAGTTTGTAAACTTACTTATTGAAGATGCCCATAGGATGTACTTCCTCAATGTACTGACACAATCTCACTCAGCTACCCTCACAAAGTCTACTGTCCGAACTACAACTCAGCTCTTTCCCCCTCTCTCCCAGGAAACACAGCAAACACTCACAATGTAACATTTTCATTGCTTGCTGGAAGCAGTGCATGATGGGATATATAGTCTTGCGAAATGGAGATTACATCATATCAAGCAGCAGGGAAAGAGACGTACAGCACACTGGGAACCCAGGAAGTTGTTGAAAGTGATGGGCAGATGGAAGGCAGCACTCACTACATAAAAGGGATTTTTTTCAATAAAGTTTTGATTGTATTATCAAAAACAACTCTACTACGTATTACAATGCAGATGGTATAACAGGATAGTACATGCTGGGACTTTACAACTCCTTTAAGGTATATCTAAAGCTAAAAACAAAAATTTAATATATTGCAGCTTACCAGTTCTTAGATGAAGTGGCTTCATTGGTTTTCTTTCTTCTTTTATTTAAGCCTGGCATACATAGAAATAACACACTTCCTGTCCTAGCGTGGCTACACTCACTCCCCCACTGTATCTATGGAGGGAGCTATGATTCTTACATAGACTAGACTTGTCTTCCATCATCTCCATTACATTGTGCTTTTATGTCTGCTCAAAGGAAGTATCAAAGACACTGCATGTTTGGCAAGATCAGCAAATATTTTCTGTACATGCTGAACATTTTCTTAGCCTGAAAAAAACTAATGTAACTATTACCTCTAATGACTGGTTAACACTTTTGTTTATTTAAAGTTATTTTGCTTTATTTAAAGCCTCTTATATATGCATAAAAGCAAAAAAAAAAAGCCGGCAATTATCTAGAAGAATCTGTTTGTAGATTTTCATTACCAAACATTTCTAATGGTGTCTTTGTTGTTATTTTGAAGATATGGGTAAAGGTGCCCACACACCTTAAGATTATCAGCCGATTTCCGTATGTGATCGCGTTTTCGTCCTATATTCGTAAAGTTGATGGGCAGTGTTCAACCGCAAAAGCAGTAAAATCGTACAACTTTTGACTTTCCAACAGGTTCTAAAACTTTGGTCAATCGTACGATTTTTGCAAGGTTGGTGACGTTTCCATATGTCAAAATTTGTACAATTAACACTGGCCATGCGCAAACGAAAATCCGCGCGGTCGATTAACGCAATTCATCCAGGTGCTTTTTTAAAAATATCGCTAATTGAACCTTGAGATGATCGGGGCAGGATGGGGCCGTCGTATGAAAATCGTTCGACTGGTCGATCATCGTACGCAAGGTGTATGGGCACCAGGTCCGCTTTAACATGCTTGGGTCATGCCAGTAATCTGCACAATGAAGATCCTGTAGGAGTAGGTACCAGGTAAGTATGATCTATTACAAAAGTGCTGGGAGAGCGGGGGCCAGAAAAGGACAAGTGCACTAAAAATATATTTATCCTTAACAAAGAAAAGAAACCTAATGAAAGCACAATTGGTAGTCCTGCCATTGTTTACCCAGCATGGTTTTCAGGATTCAATTCTGGCTACTGGCAAACTACATTACTGGAGCTTAGATGAGTAGGATATACACTGAGTGGCCAGATAATTATGGCCACCCCATCAGTACTTCGTTGGGCCGCCTCGTGACTCCACGAGATGTTGAAAGGTGATGCGAGGAATCTGACACTGCACTGTTGCCCTTCTGTTGTCTTGTACCAGTCTTGCCACTCTCCGTTCTGCCCTAACATTGACTAGTCGCTGACGGCCACAATTCGCACGTTCAGACCCAGATTTTCGGCTGACAGTCCAGTCTTTAAACACTTTAAAACCAGCTGCTCTTGAACATTTAACAAATTCTGCTGTTTTGCTGATACTCGCTCCATGGCTCCGAGCCCCAACAATCATCCCACGTTCAAAGACTGTTAAATCGCATTGTTTACCCATTTCTTCATTAAAAAAAAATCACTTCTACTGTCGTGGTAAACAAGCTGCTTCCCTATTTATAATGGTCTGGCCCTCTAGCAACTTCAGCGTGAAATTATAGCTAATTTGCCTACAAACGTCAGGTGGTCATAATAATCTGCCCACTCAGTGTATATATACACTATATTACCAAAAGTATTGGGACACCCCTCCAAATCATTGGATTCAGGTATTCTGTGAAATTTCCTTGCTACTAAATATTCATTATAACAAAGTGGAAGCAACTGGGAACAACAGGAGCTCAGCCACAAAGTGGTAAGCCACTTAAAATGACAGAGAAAGGTCAGTGCATGCTGAATTGCACAATGCGCAGAAGTCTCTAACTGTCTGCAGAGTCAATAGCTACGGACCTCCAAACTTCGTGTGATATTCAGATTTGCACAACAACAGTGTGTAGAGAGCTTCATGGAATGGGTTTCCATGGCCAAGCAGCTGCATCCAAGCCTTACATCACAAAGTGCAATGTAAAGCTTTGGATGCAGTGGTGTAAAGCACGCCACCACTGGACACTAGAGAAGTGGAGACGTGTTCTCTGGAGTGACGAATCAGCTTCTCTGTCTGGCAATCCAATGGACATGTCTGGGTTTGGCGGTTGCCAGGAGAACGGTACTTGCCTGACTGCATTGTGCCAAGTGTAAAGTTTGGTGGAGGGGGGATTATGGTGTGGGGTTTTTTTTCAGGGGTTGGGCTTGGCTCCTTAGTTCCAGTGAAGTGAACTCTTAAGGCATCAGCATAGCAAGGCATGATGGACAATTTCATGCTCCCAACTTTGTGGTGACAGTTTGGGGATGGCCCCTTCCTGTTCCAACATGACTGCGCACCAGTGCACAAAGCAAGGTCCATAAAGACATGGATGAGCGAGTTAGGAGTAGAGGAACTTCACTGACTTGCACAGAGTCCTGACCTCAACCTGATAGAACACCTTTGGGATGAATTAGAGTGGAGACTGTGAGCTAGGCCTTCTCGTCCAACATCAGCACCTGACCTCACAAATGCGCTTCTGGAAAAATGGTCAAACATTTCTATCGACACACTCCTAAACCTTGTGGACGCCTTTAAAGATGCCTTTTTGTGGATGCCATTAAAGTTCATGTGTGTATATATATATACACACATACACACACATACCATTGCATTCAGCATTTAGCAACAGATCCACATAAGCAAGATGTTCAGATCTGTCTGTATTAATTTTCTGACTACAACAAAGCAATACCAACATACCATGAGCTATTCTAAACACTACTTCCACATCAAATTAGATTTACACAATTAAACGCCAAGCTGGCCTCAGCAAACCAAGCCTGCTTTGATAATTGAACCATGCACGCAAGAAACATCTGAACACATGAAGATATTGTTATTATGTTTTCATTGTCTTTTTATTCCAATGCTTAATCCAACATCTTAATCACATCACCAGAAGAGGTCACTGTTTAGACAAGATCATGAATGTCGAAGAAATGCAGAACTACGCCAAAAGCTCTGAACTAAGAATTTCAGCCTACAGCCAAGTAGCAAAGACCCAGAAGGGGATCGAACAATGCCTTACGTATACAAATATTTGGTAGACGATCCAAATAAATTCACTGTTCTTTTTTATAATTTAAATATATATATTTTTTAAATCAACTTACCAATGGTGTAGCATCTTTTCAGGTCTCCCCTCCTAGGGTGGCGTTTCTGAGTGTTTGCAGTGTTGTTCTGGTCTTCTTCACTGGTAGTCTTGGCAGTAGATAGTGATTTACTTGATTGTGATGGCAGTGTATCCGTCAAAGGATTATACGATGGTGAACTAATGTCCACAGACTGTGACTTCTTCTTCAGCCTAAAGATGGAAAAAGAGATGATCTAAGTGTGCTTGTTCAATCACATTACTTTGAAGATCTTTTATCACCTGGAGGTATACCACTACAGATTAATTATTTTGTGTTTACCAGTATATACCCTGTGATTGTGTAAAGTGTTAATAAAAAAAAAAAATATTTGGGTTTCCAACAAGGTAAATAAGGAAGCTTAACGCGACATCTAAGCCGGCTCCAATGATTTGTTCTCTGCACCAGGAGACCAGTGCTGGTGGTTTTTGGCTTAGGGCTCCTGGCGCAAAGGAAGTGTGAGAAATCTGTAGCTCCATTGACTAACAACAGATGTACACAGCCACTTCCCAGTAAACTGCTAGGCCACTAACATTCCCCATGAACTTGCCCATTAAAAAAAACACATTTGCTGGAGTTAAATGGCCATAGCAACCTTTTATTACCAAATACAAATGCATTACTTTAAACAAACACAAAAAGGTTTCAGGTGTTTGAAGGAAGTAATAGCATAACAGATTTGAAAACACCATGCAACAAGGACATAGATGGGTCCCGAAACATTGAACACCAGCACCTATTCGGCTACCTTAAAGGACTGCAAACCGCCATGGTGCCCAGACTCCAAATTCCAATCTTAGGATAGGTGGGTGGACAGTTCACTTTTCCTCTGACGACCTCCAACTGCTCCTGTGAGACTCCCCCCAAATTATCTCTGAAGCCCCTTCTGACCTCATCTACTGACTAATAAGGTTAGTGACCTAACCCTTTTGTAATATAAACATTTAACCCCTTGGTTCCTTGTCTCCCCACTTCACATTGTCATGTATTCTCTCTGCTTGTTTATTTTTTGTTTCGAGCTTTAACGTTTAAAAAAAAAAGGACCCCCCCCAAACATCCCCCAACACTTACTCTCTATTACCTGAGCACATAACACCTAACACAACCCTAAAAACAAGACTTTAAATATTACTACCTCTTCCAAGGGTAAAATACCTTTAACCTGCTGTTCAACACATGGGAGTTGATGTATAAACCTTTCTCCCTGGGTGAATGTGGTTCACATGGAATTTCTGACACTAGATGGAGTTGAGGAGCATATGAAGTTCTATGATTCTTTGCTCCATGTAGCAGTGGGAATGCTGTGTGAACATTTGTTTCCTAGCTATAGACTAGTACAATTAGCAGGGGTCAATCTGCCGATCCATGATAAAAATTTGAGAGGGGTCCTAACACTTCCCAAAACTATACAAATCAAAAATAACGTTTTGGCTTTAGATACACTTAACATCTCCAGTTTACCAGGCACAACTTATTTTTAAACTAAGCCTTTCACACACACCCAAACTACTTTAAGCTTCAGACGCTCATTAAGTGACCCATAAACCTCACCACTGAAGAAAAATAAAACAGTAACCATATTTTCCTTGCCTTGCTAAATCACATAAGCACTGCTACAATTCAACTGTAAGCATTCTCATATTACTGTGGGAACTTTAGGAGCCCTCACATTTCTATATTTATATTATATTCCCCCTGTGAATCCTTAGGAGATCCTTCATCAATATCTCCCAGCTAATTCTGTTTTCAAGTGTACGCACCAGGAGAGGTGGGAGATGTGCAGCCTCCTGTTTCCAAGCAGCTGAGAGGCAGCATCTGGCTCCTGACAAAATGTACAATATTAATTTGGCTGGATGTCTCTGGAAATTTGATTAATTTGATTACATTCTGTCAATATGGCATGATAATTGAGCATGACTGAACTGTGCAGAATGGACCGGTGTAGCGGGGGAAACTGTTATTAAGATATTTAAGATAAACAATTAGCTTTAGGATAGGCTGGAGGCTTCCACTTATTCCAAATTGCACGTGTTTTGAAATGCAGATTGTTTTTATATGTGCTCTTCCCCGAGGAAGCATAAGGAAAAGTTAACTTCAAGATAGGAAATTGATTTTCTCGTAGACCTTATGTAAGTTTGTGTAGAATATATGGAATACACCAATCGATTCAAAGCAAAGCTTTTCACTATATAGTAAGCACTATAAGCTGCTTTACCTTACCTCTACCTTATCCCCCCCCCCCCACCAGGATCCCTCACTGGAATGTCTAAAACTGTAAAGGTGGCCATGCATTATGCAAATTTCAGCCAGCTCTTGATGAACCAACCGAAATTCTCACAGTGGGTGCCGCTGTTGGCAGCCTTTGGACCGGCATCCCTCAATCAGCTGATCGTAGGAGCCGGTTGGAATATCTTTAAACGAACAGTGCCGGCAGCCAATGATCTGTAGATCCTCAAATCATCTCTGAATTGGTGCTGACACTGCCCTTCCTTCTGGAGGGGGCCTGCCTTTGTTCCTCATGGTCCCTGTGTGTTGTAAAGTAGTCACTGCTCCAAGCTCACTCTCGTTATGGACTACAATCTCAATACAAATGAGTAAACTAAACATGAAATTGTAGTCCACTGAGTGAGCTTTGAGCAGTGGCTACTTTACAACACACTTGATTCAAGGACCATGGGGAACAAAGTAGCCACCCTCAAGAACGATGGACAGTGTCAGCACCAATTCAGAGATGATTTGAGGATCTACAGCTGAGTGATACACAAATAAGATACATTGTTGTTAATAGTTAAGATATTTGAATGAATTTTTAAGATTTAAATCTTTTAGTGTCATTTTAAGCATATTTAATAAAAAAAAGTTAAAGCTGAGTCCAGTTGAAAGTTAAAAAAAAAGGATTTTTCTGCAATACTCCGTTATTCATTGCCAGTCCTCTTTTGGGTTAAATGACACCCAGCTTTAACAAATCCACATGCTGTGCAGAATGTTGTGGACCGGCCCCCTAGAGAGGCATTACCATGAAGCCCTGCACTCACAGTACACTGAAGAAGAGAACGGCGCCAATATCATCACATCAGATGTGTGTGCATTGCTTTTCCAATGGTATAACCAATGTTTTGTTTGCTTGCAAACATGAAGTGCATCGTTTTCAATGATTCCTTGAACTGTGAAAAGGAGCAGTAAAGCAAAACCATTGTGTAGCACTGCAAAGCAGGAAGCGGAGTCTCAGGGGCGTCCCGAGGCCGGGTGTCACCCGGACCGGAGACCGGGTGACATCCCGCCGTGACATCATCCCGCATGTGGGGCCATCTAATTGATGCCTGCTGGGGCCCATCGTGGCGATGGAAGCGGGCAGAGAGAGGAGGGGACGTTCACCTGGCGGGATGAGGTATGCCACCGGGTCCCCTCCTCTCTCCTGACACTGTCGGGCTCTTGGTCCATGACCGAGTGCCCAACTTTTTTAGAGGGGGTGACACCAAAATGACTGTCAGTCATTTTGGTGTCACCCCTCCAATGGTGTCACCCAGGTGCGGGCCGCACCCCCTGCACCCCCATTGTGACGCCACTGTGGAGTCTGAGTATGTAATACCCAATATAGATCCCCCTATAAATAATTATAAACTATATACAGAAACAGGCTGATCTCACATTAGGCTGATATACTGTGTATATTAGCCTATATATACATATAATATCATCACCTTATATTTAACATTTCATCCTTTTCTGAATACACAATACATACTTTTAACAGCTGTGTGAAAACACGAAAAAGAAAATGAACAATTAAAGAAAATAGGGCAAACATTGGTTTTCTTTATTCTTCTTTTGAAGCCTTATTCGGTCATGACAAATGCCCTCCAGATTTATAATCAGTTTCCCTGCAGTAAAATCACGTATAGGTCTTTTTTCTATTGACTCTAATGCATTTCTCACCAGTCTTTTTACTTGATTGGCAATACCTACTAGGGCATTTGCGGGGCTGTATAATAATGAGATGATATTATTCAAAATGGCAGCAGTCAGAAAACATTTATGCGGGTCCTTACAAGTGAGATTTATGCGGTTGTTTGACTTTTATGGGAACAAATGTGATTAGAGGCTGTTTTCTCTGTGATAGAATGTGGGAGGCTGTATCTTGTTCACCTTTCATTTTTCAAGCAAAAAATGTCTATCTGAAAGGTGCATTGCCTTTCCAGATTTATGTTCGTTGGAAATCACGTTTTGTTTTAAACACGAGTAAAACTTTTAAATCAACCAAAATGATTGTGAACATGTGTTTTACATAGTTAAAGGGTAACTCCACTTTAAAAATATAAAAATGAAAAAATCTTTAAGAAATTAATGTAGCATATACAATTGTCACACAGCCATTTTGCAATTTATTGTTATTAAAAATGACCTTTCCATTTAATACTGTAGCTGCTGTAATGTTCTAAATCCTTCAAACAATTCAATGCAATGTGGCGACCTGGAGGTGTTCCGTACACAGTTGGTTTATGGAATGCCCCCAGAAATGTTATTTTCTGCTTTTGTAATTGGCTGACTGATTTTCCCAGAAGTCTGCACTAAGATACAAATAACATTTTTGCATCACTTGCAATAGGAATTTCATTTTTGGTGACCTACTCCCTAAGGTTTAATTACTACTAAAGGGATGCCGACACTGCACCTTATTGCAACACAGTAAGACCACCAGCTGGTTATAATGAACACAGACCATCCCATTCAGGGATCAGTTTGAAAAAGACACACTGCAACAAACAGCTATTCCCTTAGAACAGAAACAGGTAGGAATCTGCAACAAAGTTTGTTAAAATCATTGTATTGTATACAGATCACCCAGAGGGGATTGATTTTTTTCTCAACAAAAGTGGAATTACTCTAAGTATATTTGGAAATTTTAGACTTATCTTTTGATATATTTTTTTTTATTATAAGGGCATGCGTGCTAGTAATGTGTAAAGCTGGCCATACACCAGTAGAATTTGGTTTGAAAAAAACTGTATTTGAAACATTTGTTTGAATTTTTAAAAAACCCAAAAAACAAAGGAGCAGGATAGACATTTTTTCTCTGACAAACAAAATCCTAACAGTAAATGTGGATTTTGTTTTGCAAAATTCCATTCATTCCAAAATAGAATGGTAAACTCAAAAACATTTCGAAAGACAT